CCCAACCCCCCCCCCCCCCCCTTTTACTTTATGACCGGTCCCTTATCAATTGTATTCGTACGTGCGACCTCCCTCGTGCGACATGCAGATTTAGCACAAAAATACTCCGTTGGTCTGCAGGAAATTTTTGTCTCCAGGTTGTGCTCCCAGGAAGAAAATTCTTCTTTCCCGCCCTGGTGACTGTATGCCAACTCTCATGCACTTTCATCCTTGGAATGCTTTACACTTGAAATTTCTATCTACTGTACAAAATCCTTTCAACAATGAGTTCTATCCAGTGAGATACCCATGCTGATATTTACCCTAGCAATTTATACCTCGTATTGAATTATTGGCATTTTTCATTTTTTAGATTCCCAAAGTTTTGTGTTGCTGTGTTAACTCGAGGCAGCGTGAGCCAGGTCAGTTGTGAGTTTTGAACTTCAGAGGACAATGTTAATTGAATTAGCTGTATATTTCCGTGATTTTAATTTTTTCCTAGGCTCTTCTTAGCGGCATAACTGCGGACCAGGTACTTATGGAATTTTCACTACATTTTTACTATATACTGTATACTATATGGGCTTCGGTGGCTCAGTCATCAGAGTATGGATAATAAAATAAATGGATAGGACTCTAGCTGACGTAAGCAAAAACAACCTAGTGCAATCTGTGACGTCACGCGTATTGCAAAGTTCTCGGCATTTTTGTTGTTTCGCTAGACTTTCTGCTTTAAAAGAGTAATATTGAAGCATGAACTGGTCTAATTGTTTCAAAAACACGCCTAAGCCACGACAAAGTATTCAAGGTAAATGTTTTTCGTCTTTGTTTTTTATTTTTTTACATTTGTAGCTACGAAATTGACGTCCCCAATTTTAACGAAATTTGGGTGATTTTTCACTGTTTAGTGCTTGAAATATTCGCTAAAATTGACTGGGAATACTTAGAGATTTCATTGTAGAATGGCGTAGTTATATTCATTTGCTCTTTGACTAAAATGTTTAGCTGTATTATTGCTAAACATGCCGTTTTTGAGAATTTGGTTTGCAACTAGGTTTCAACATCCAATCACGCCATCAGTCCATTGAAAACATTAGGTCACGTCAGCTAGTTTCCTACAATGGTTTCCTATCCATTTATTTTATTATCCATGATCAGAGCAAGCGCCATTCACCTCTGAGATCGTGGGTTTGATTCTCACTACGGACTCATGTAAAAAGAGTCAGTCAATGCTCTGCCGAAAGTCGTGGGTTTTCTCCGGGCGCTCCGGCTTCATCCCACAGGGAAAGTTGACAGAGTGGGTTAGGATAAACACAGTTAGAAAAGTAATATCACAACTGTTGTAAAGATAAAATAGTCTTGGCTTAGTAAGTTATTAGGTAATCGTAATCGGGTGTAACAATATTGTTCAATACTGTTGACAACTGTGAACAATGTGGGCAGCACAACATTGTGCGATCCTGTTTACATCAATATTGCAACAACCTGATCGTTTTTAGCTGTGTGTAATTAGGTAAGGGACAAAGCGTAATACTTGATGTAAAGCGCATTTGATCATTTTCACATGAAAATTTGCGCTATAAAAATCTTAATTTTAAATCTTAATCTAATCACTGCGCCACAAAGACATCCATTATATATATTTCTGGCGCATTGACAAGGAACATTGTATGCTAATTTCCAATTGAATCTCGTAAAAATGGAAATTTATATTTCAGGTCTTACATTTTCTCAGAACAAGAGCTCATCCTGAAATGTTAAAGAAGGTACTGCATGCTGAGTTGCACATGATGCATTTTATTGATGATTCGCTGCAAAATAATGTTTCGAAGTAATTTGTATTAATTTAATAGACGCCCGTGATTCCAGCGAATATCGCCGATCAAATTCGTCTGTGGGAATTAGAGAAATGTAGAATGCAGATGACAGAAGGTACTCTTTCCCACGTGATCTTTACAACTAGAAAAACCCTACATACAGTATAAGGGATCGTTCATTATTTACCAAAGATAAATATTTTTCTTGGTAACTGACCCAACCATTAAAAAGTCAAAACAATTTTTTACCCAACTTCAAATATCAATTCAAAAATAAGTAACTTAACAAGAACTTTACATTTAAGGATACTACTATTCAGTTGTCACACATCAGTGACATCACCTTTACCAATTCTGTGACATGAGGTTGATAAATGCTTTTGCAATTTTCTGCAGTCTAAAGTTTCATGTTGTCTGCATATGTACTTTCTTTGGAGACACCATTTGCTTCCTGACAAGTCAGAAATGATCAAGATAATGACTCTGATTGATTCACATATTGTATTGACATATGACTGTTGACATTGCTGTTTAGTCTTCAATATTTGAGTGAGTCATGCTTTGGAAATGACAATAAATTTTTATTACCCAACCCTTGAGTTGTTCTGTTTTAAACGTCTTTTAAAATTCTTTTACTTACCCAACCCTTTTCCCTTCGGTGCCACGCCCGCCATAAATAATGACCGGTCCCTAACTCCTTTGTGATTAAGTCAGTTGTTTAAAGTGCGACTAATCCCAAATATAATTTTTGGTATGTGTGGTATTTGGGTCACTGAGTAGAAATGTAATGTATCTTTATAGTAAAAAAACTCAATCTTGATCAACTTTTTCACCGTCAAAGTTCCAGATATGATGTCATTGGGTGAATTTTCGGTACAAAAACCAAAGGAAAACTAATTTGCAATTCACCTAATGACATCATATCCGGAAACTTTGGCAGTGAAAAAGTTGATCAAGTTGGAATTTTTTATTATAAAGATATATTACATTTCTTCTTCGAATGACCCAAATATTACACATACCAAAAATCATATTTGGGGTTAGTCGCACTTTAAGAATTACAAAATATTTTTCCAGGAGTTTTGTACAATCAGTTCCTGTCGATGTCGGATTTTGAAACTTTGAGAAAATATGCTGAGGTAAAGTAATAGTTAATATAACGTTTTTCTCTGGTAGACCTCTTATTTGTCCAGTATTACAACAGAAGTCACCTCTGTGAACCGACATCATTCTGGAAGCACTCCTATTGAAGGAATCAAACCCTGATCACAGACTTGCCCAAAAGGACCTATTCCATAATGAACAAAATTTTGATCTAAGCAAGTCTAGACAAAAATGTCATCACAGCTTGAAAAAGCATCACAAAATTAGTAATATTCCGACGTTTCGTTGCGAAATGTTGTAAAATGCGGATACTATAGCCTTGCGAAGTTTGCCGTTTTTCACTCATTTTGTATTACGTACGGGAAATTGATACCGCTTTCTGAAAAAAAGCAGGGCGCTTATATAATGTTTATTTTCCTAACTAACTTGACTTGTTCCAGTCTTCTGCATCACACATCGATCAGCGCGCCTATATCCGTTTCACCGCCCATTATATAAGCGCCCTGGAAAAAAGGTATCAATTTCCCGTGCGTAATACAAAATGAGTAAATGACTGAAAAACGGCGAACTTTGCAATGCTATATTATCCGCATTTTACAACATTTCGCAACGAAACTTCGGAATATTATTAATTTTGTGATGCTCTTTCAAGCTGTGATGAAATGTTTGTCTAGACTTGTCTAGATCAAAATTTTGTTCATTAGGGAATAGGTCCATTGCTGTAGAACAAAACCCCAATATTGAAATGTTTTTTCTTTAAACACAGGATCTTGGTGTTCTGATCTGGGCAAATTCCAACAAGCGAGTTATGATTGTGAGTAAATCAGGACATGATGATGTGAAGAAATTTTGGAAACGACAGAAACCGAGGGAATAAGAAAGCCCGAGTGCTTTTGCATGTGGTGGAGATAGTTGGCAGCCGCGCTTCAGGGAGAATCTAACCTGGCAGCTGATAGTGTTTCACAGATATTTCGGCTCGTAGTCGATCGCAATGGAAGCCGAATGGATAGATAAGATGGTGGTATGTGGATAATTATGGATAGTGATGGATAATGGTTAATGGATAATGACTAATGTTAGTATGGATATATGTGGATAGTGATGGATAATGATGGATGACTGTTGATTATGACTAGTAATGACTGATGGATAATGGATGGATAATGATGGATAACTGGGAGGTATATTAACAGAATGCATCGTGGTACTGTAAGTATGTTGTCTGTAAAAAGACACGAAACAATTTTTCCATAATTATGAAATGAAGGTACAAAATTTATTTTGGCTAAATGTTTAGGGGTAAAATGCTACAGGTATTTGAACTGAACCTTAGAAAGATGGAACTAATTTAAAAGTTATGTTTTGAGCATAGTAAATTGCCTCATAAATGGCCTCTTGATTAAAGAAAGGACCAAATGAAATTTCTTTGCTTGGCTTGGCTTCGGGGAAAGTAGTTGAAAATTAGTTAAAGAATAGTTGAATAGAACTAGTGAATAGTTCAAGCGTTTCCGCGCTTAACGTAATTTCCTATACGATAAGTAGCCGTAATTGGTGTCAGATTGAAAACCACATAAAACTTGGAAAACGATGTTTGCGAAACAATAATAGCGTTTGCAAAACAAAATATTTTTAATGTGTTGGAAACATTTCTATTTCCGGAAAGGAAATTATATTTCTTCAACACTACATGTTTTCAAAGGTAGACAAACTATGCAAGATTTGAGAAAACATCAAAATTCTCAAATGTATCACAAAAATGGTTCCTGTTTTGCCATTCCAAGGCAAATTAGTCCGCTTTAATTTACAATTAATATATAGATTCACATTTATTAAATACGAGTCAAACAATTCAACCTTGAGGTCATGTCACGCATACAAACAAAATTAAACATGAATAGCCGACATTCTTGGCACGTTCACAAATAAAACGACACTCAATTTATTCAGCTTGTTCAAACAATTTACTTTACATTGTAATGTGGGATTAATCATAATTAAAACAAGTAAACCTTGCCCAAACTAACAGCTTAAGTTTTGGGCTCATTGCTTAATTGTTGAGGCCAAATTCGGCCGCATTGAAAAGCTTATAGGGCAAGAAAAGGATCATGACCATGGAATCGGTCGAGACAAGAAAACTCGGAAAGCATTTGTTTATTTTTGAGAAAGGAAAGGCTAAAAACCCGAATGGCAAAGCCAAAGGGCGAACATTAATAACCTCTTGTCAAACGGATACAGACAATAGACTCCCGCCAGAATTTGTTAACTATATGAGGACATTATTTGATATTTTGGATGCGAATAATAGTGGATTTGTGAGATTAAGTGATATCGAAGCTTGCTGGGGCCAACAGAACGGCGATTCTACTTCACAAGGCACAGGAGTACTGCAGCAGCTTCGTAAAGTCACGCCGGCGAACGGCTTCCTTAGTTTTGACAGACTTTGTAGGGGCTTTGGTCAAGCATTGCGTTCAAACGAAAGCATTTCGATTCCTAATGGTTCTGCGAGGGCTAGCTATGAAAGTCGCAAATCTAGTAAAGTTGAGAGAAATTCTGAATCAAGACCGGCGCCTAAATATCAATCCGCACTCAACGGAACACCTACGGGGCAAAGAGATCCAGTTTCCGCAGTTCAGGTTGACAAACAAGGGGAGACTGAGGTAGCTGAGAGATTTGGTGAATTTTATAAAACAAATGGAATTCGAGAAAGCGCCGTCTTGAATCCTAATTCTGAGATAGGATTAAACCACTTGCGCAAACCAGGGCACGCAAAACGCCATAAATCGGTCGGAACAAGTGAATCCGAAGAAAACGTAAAGTCGTCTTTTGCTGTCAATAACTCTTACGAACGAAAACACAGAAGTCGTCCGATTTCCACGGGACCATTCAACCAACCACGCGAGGAAGTTTTACATGTCCCTTTTTCTCAAGCAAATTCATCGAAATCTGGTAAAATTGACCAAAACCCCGACCCAGAATTGTGCAAAACTGATACAGTTTTTATCCGTAAACCAGATGTACGAAAACGTCCAAAATCCATGCTTCCTTTCAGCGAACAGAAACAGCCAGTGGATTTATCAGTTGCGAAGAAAAAAGGGGGAATTCTCGAGGGGATACAGAAAACGGACAAAAAAGCCGTAATTGATAAATTGAAGCAATGGCGAAACGATGAATTGAAGACGAATTGTAGTCGGGATAAAAATAGTGTTGCTACGACGAAAGATTTTCACAGAGTTACACAAGGTTACCAGTCTGATAACGAAGGCGGTTACTGCAGACAGAGACGTGCCTTGGCTCCAGTGTGCTATTCAGGAAATGAAGCCGACTTTGGTATGTATTTTGATGAGAATTTTTGGGGATTTTGGTATTAATGAAATATGACAGTTCTCCAGCCAGCGACGCGCCATTGTGTGGGAATTTGTTTGTTTAGTATCTTAAGTGCTGGGTTCTGATGTACGCACGTAAAAATGCACAAGTTGTTACAGGTCTGCAAACAAGTTGTTATACAAATCTGTTCACAAGCTGTCGACAAGTTGTGTTCGCACTGCTTGTTCCCAGTTGTGACAGGCTTGATGGCATTATCAGACTTAATGCATGCAAGGTTCCAGCAAGTCTGATACAGTGATGATATAACAAGAATGAAACAAGGTTGACAACACAAGGTTGCAACAATAATGTTATATGATTGTATCCAACTTGTTGGAACAACCTTGCAAAAAGTCTGATAATATCGAAAAGTTGTTACAACTTTGAAACAAGTTGTTCCATACTTGTTGACAACTTGGACAAGCAGTGCGAAAAACAACTTGTTGACGGCTCGTAATTGGCAGACTTGCTATAAGATGTGAGATTTTTTGTGTATATAGCCGTAGGTAGCATTAAACAATATTCAAAAAGTCTGTTAAAGGAACTGAATTGAACGGGACATGAGAGTTGAGAAAACTCTCATGCAAACTCTCGCTTCTCAACTCTCGTCAGTTCTCGTTTGACCATGTAAGGCTTTAGCTTTTGTTTTTTTTCCATATTTTTCAGGTACTTAATCCTTCAGCTATGTTGAAAATTGTTTGTTTAACTCATTTGTTCATGATGTTTTCATTTGTTTCGGCTTATGGGCACTTTAAGTAGGGTGGGAAAATGATTATATATATATATATATAGGCTTTATTTATGCCATCCCCCTGAGCGGACTGTACAAAGCCAAGATGATAAGGAAACTATGTAAGTAATTTTGTATAAGGGACGGACCATTAGAAAAGGATGGGGGATTTTCTAAGAGGCAATATTTATTTTTTTTGTACACCCATAGAAGAAATATATTTTTTTTCTCACTTGATGGCTGGAAATATTTTTTTAAGTGAAATTTATAGGCCTATCTTCCAAGCTAGGAATTTTTTTTTGCACTGCCTGGGAAGATTTTTTTTCCTAATTTTTTTCTGGGGATAAGTTTTTTTTTGGTTTTGCCCCCCGCCCCCTCCCCCCCCCCATCACTTTTCTAATGGTCCGTCCCTAATAGTTTCACCGTGTTTAACCGCGGCGCCTCTCATGGAAACTAACTTTAGTTTATGAGGTCATATAAAGAATTACCTTATACAACCTACTTAGGGTGCTTTCCATTAGCTCGGCATGACCGGTCAGAACGGTCAAATTGTTGAATGGAACACAAAACGTTTGGGCTTCGGACATATCTGAGTCAGAATCTGACGGAAAATTTGGATCAAATTCAGAAGTCCATTTTCGCTAGATATATTTAAAAAAACATATAGACCGCAGGGGCCGGTTGTTCAAAGGTGGGTTAGCGCTAACCCTGGGTTAAAATTTAACCTGCTGTTTTAGTTTATGTATTTCTGCACATCTGTTTATTTCAAAACTTCAGAGAAGTAAACTCCTATCGATCCAGACAAGATCTCTGAAGAAATATTTCCAAATTTATAGACAAGCTATCAGGAAGATGCCTGTGTGATGTTACTCTGAGTGTATATCCACACCGGGCAGAATTGAAAAATATGCCTGGCCACGGTGGGATTCGAACGTACGACCTTTGGAATACTAGTCCAATGCTCTGCCAACTGAGCTATGTGGATATACACTCAGAGTAACATCACACAGGCATCTTATTCACCTGAGTACATTACACCAACACAGCAAATATCAAGCTATCAGGAAGTTTGCTTTGAATTTAGGTTAACCTATAGGGTTAAGCTAACCCAGCTTTGAACAACTGGCCCCTGATCCTTCCAATGACACAGAGACATAAATTCTGGTCTGACTAATCTGTGGCCATTAAATCGAAAGCCCCCTATATACCTACATACCTACTTGCCGTGCCCTTGGACCTCACTCTAGATGTTCTCGCGCCTTTGGCATACTGTTCTAATCTTCAATGACCATATTATAGAACAACATCGTGCTTCAGCGCATTCTTCGGGCAAAAGCAATGGAGTGCGTTCGCCGAGAACGACTGTGTACTATCAAGGTCAAATTCAAACCAAATCTGGAAAAAATTACTCGACCTTAAAGACCACAGCAGAATGTCGGGAAGAAAGCAAGACAAAGGAAAAGGTATACATATGAAATTTTGCGGATCTCGCTTAGAACAAAAGCAACATCCCAAGTGCATGGGTCACGCTATCCTGCCTGGAAAACCATTCAGTTGGTAATGGACCATTTGCATTATACAGGGTGTATCAAAAAAAGCGCAATCCTCGACTGAAATGTAAATTGCTAAACAAATAATAGACGAAAACGTTAAAGTTTACATTCATTTTAAAGCGTAGCCATTCAGCTTTCTAACAGTGGGTTGTTTCTTAAATTTGACTCATTGGTTCGCGGATAATAATACTTTACGTTATTGCGATTGGAGATTAAAAAAAATGAGATGGAATAACAAATCGTTCTCATGAAAATAACTGATTTTTTCATTAAAACAAAAAAATGTTGCATTTTAATAAATGGATTGTAACAATAAGTATAATTACGGCTTTTTCTTCCACTATTTTTAACACAGTTTGAAACTTCAAATGCGATATAATTTTGGCTTGGACCATCTAAGCTGACTGACATCAGCTTGCTATAATTTCTGTTTACATTACATCGTAATTCGATGACACTCTGGCTCAGACACCAGAATGTTTTGATTCTATGATTTTTAGCATTCGTATAGGATTTTCAAACAACCTGGTCTCTTTTAAAATACTTTTAATTTGTTCTTACGTGGTTTTCCAGATGTAGTGACGACAACATTAAAGTTTAAAGAAGAAAATTCTAACATTTAAACTGACTAAACAATAACATAGTAAACTTGCATAATTAAACAGCAACCAAAAATGATAGGTTTTACTAAATCTTTTCCTGTGCAATTATTACTAGCATTGGAGACAAGGATAATAGTTTGTTTGAAAGAGAAAAGAACAGGCTTTGAAGTAAGCCTAAAAGCGTTTAA